GCAGTGTCCAACCGGTGTCCCTTCCACCCAATATGCACCTCGACAGTGTCCCTACTTAAGCTTAACTATGCNTTTGTGAAAATGGATCTCAGGATCTCACCATCCTGTTGAGGATCGCTACATAGTTAAGCCAAAAATTGAGCCGCACCAGTCCATAATCGGCCACTGCCAAAGTGTCCGCTGATCGACCACAGTGGCCGACCGCTAACAAACCGCGAGTGTCCACAGTGGCCGGCCCCCATAGTTAAGGAATCGGCCACTCAGGCTCGGAAATGTTCAGTATGGGGGGACCTGGTCGTTCCCCGGACAAAAAAGTGTCCGAAAGGCTGCAAAAAATAAATGATCCCTGGCAGGTTCGAACTGCCGATCCCCGCGTTATTAGCACGATGCCTTAACCAACTGGGCCAAGGGATCACTTGTTGTAACATTTTGAAATTTTTCGGGCCTTGTGTGATAATCCAAATTTAACCCAAATTTAACTTGAATATATAAAAGCAATGATTTTTGGGTAATTTAAAGCTCTATAGCCTTCAGTCAATTGCTAATCTGATAGAGGAAACGTAGCTCTATTGATTCAACCTAAAATATTTGAGAAAAAGATGTTTTTGAGGAAGTTAATTGCCAAATTAGTTTGTCAGAAAGGTCTGCTCTGCTGGGTCTCATTTTTTTTATAATTCTAAGAAAAAAAAGCCTTTCTTGTTTGTTGTTTATTAGACTGCTTTCACTGGAAAGTTTATGAAAACACTTCATTTACTTGTTTATATCTTGAAAGTGTCATCTCACTTAAAAAAGTTCACAGTTCAGTGTTTGAATAAGTCGAAAATCTACTAACAAGCTCTTGGTGGAAGTAGGTTGATCCAGAATACAATTCCATCACTTTTTATATCAATCGTTGGCTTCTGTTCATTTTTTACGAATGGTGTCATTTGCATCTTGAACTTTTGTTTTGGAATAAAGCAGAATCCATATTATTAACTATTAGTCATTTCTTCTTGAAGGTACACTCGACATAATTATCAATAATGATAATAGCACATTCGACTTAATTATTACTGTTATTATTGCAATTATCTTATTTCTTTATAGTGTCCCTCTTCTGCTGATAGAGATTCTCAAAACGAACAAACAATTTGTACAGTCTTCAAAGTATATAGTATATAGAGCTATCACCTAGATGATTGTTCTCATCAATAAGCGTAGGTCAATCATCTTCAAGAATTCAACAATAGCAATGATCACTGCCTATCAGGTTGAATTACAAGTGGATCCTTCCAATATTAGACTCGGTTCCTTATGCTTGAATATATGACAAAAGAGTCCACTAATTATATCTTGGACTTTTTGTGGAGGTTTATCGGAACGAAAATAGGCTTCAGTAGTTGAGTCACTTCGAAATACCATTAATATTATAACGACATTTTGCTTTACTATCAATCATCGTTTTGCAGGAGAGTAGGTAGAGAAAACCAAAGGGTTGAATTAGCTGAATTCTTAATGTACAAGTATTTTTTCCTCAATCTTTAGGCTTCCACCCAAATACATGAAATGTTTGAAAATTTTTACATCATACAAGGCTCTAAAATATGTTAACTAGTATAACTTCCACTTCGTCAATAGTGAACTTTGACAGGTGGCTCAAACCACTTGCTTCGTCTTCAGTTTTTCAGAATATACCTCCACATATATAGATAATCTCGGACTTTTCGATCTATTTTGAAGAATAGTGTTGAGATGCGTTTGAGTCATGGTAAACGATAAACCCGTGATTAGATGGTTACAAAGAGATTGCATGAAGTTTTTGCCATCTAGGTACATAATTTGACACAAAGAAGTCAATACATAGTTTTAAATTGATGACGTAGTTCAGAAGCTCAAAGGGATTAGCTTCCCAATCATAAAGAAAAAGCATAGGACAATCCAAAAAAAAGTATTGGTAGCACGTCAAAAATCACCTTCGAAACGGTCCGAGTCTGTCTCTAATCTGCTACTTGATGGATAGAAAACACCCAAAGCCATAAAAACCAGTACTCAGATCGATATAAATCGTTTTCAGATATGAACTCATCTAAGTAAGATTGATACGGAGATTGACGTTTATTTGTCACCAGCAAGGGAAGGTTGAGGTGAAACAATTCGGGCTGCGCGATGACGCATCTATCTGTTGTGTGAGGAACTCCAGGCTGATCTCAAAAATCAATCCGCTACCACCGCATGACTAGCCCCAGCCCCGGTGCGTTTGGAAGGTGAACTCGATGGTGAGATCGTATTCTGACAGCAGTTGAAGTTTTGTTTGTAATAGATACCGGTAGACATCTACCTATATTCATAAATAAACTAGCTCACTGAAACTGGACAAACTCACGTGAGATGAAATGTGAAAAGAAAACTGGATCTGCAGCAATCGGGCAGATAGACAGGCACAAATCGCGCCTCCACAGTGCACACCTGCTTCATTTCATTTGGCTGTCCTCTGCGCCACGCGACAGGAACGAGTTACGAGCTCGATGCGATAAGCAATCAATCAACTGGGGTACATATTAATCAGATCCAGATACCTAAGTAGCTTCTCTACACGTCACAACTACTCGTTAATCTTTTTTGGTATTATCTCGTTTGATATTTATATGAATACAGTCACAGGCTGATACCAGCCAGTACCACTCTTGAAGTATTCCTCCCTGGTAGTCTCTTACCACATAGTTATACTCTTACCGCACTTACGGAATTTGATACCAAAACTGCTCGATTTCGATTCACAGCATTGATTCGACTCAAACTGCCCACATATACAGCGGTACCCATTTACATCTCATAGTTTGCTCAGTTGTCATCAAAGCCTTCACCAATATCCTTAGCTTACATACTAAATACAATCAAGGATGCTTGAAACACTAGTGGATGACTCTCCACCTGCTTACAACCACTTATTCGGTAGCGAATCAAGCCCATCAGACCAACACGTCCCATGCCCTGATTATTCGCCTTCGATCTATCATCTCTCATTGATATTTTTTTCTAGAGAAAATAAGTACGATAGACCTATTTTCAGACCTGCCCTTTTCGAGATTAATTCGACTCAGATCAATGTGCACGAGCTTGACTCAGGATATGAAAAGTTTGCGAAATATTATTTTTCAAAATTGCTACCAGATTACATTGATCCTGCAATCAACATTAAATCTTACAGTCCGAGTGTCAGAAGTGTCAAACCGATAGGGGAAAAGAAGAAAGAGAAAAAAAGGGTAAAGTTAACCAACTTTTTACAAAAATTGTCTTTTGATCAGCTTCCCGAACTTTATAAAGATCATTTGAGTTATTACGAACTCCATTCTGATGCCTGCTCTCTGGTTCATGAGATGCTACTCAATAAACCTAATCTTTATCAAATAACAAACCCAAAACATGAAGAAAATTTATCTCAAACTTTCAAGAAAATTAAAGGACAAAAGTTGCTATTTACTGCCTCATTACAAGAGCTGATGAGGTTTGGAAGTGCGACAGACTATCATAATAAACCATTCACTTTAAGACTACTATTCCCACAACTTGATGACCAGTTCTTGATAACTTCTTATACCTCAAGATCGTTTGTTGAGATTTATTACAAATTGAACATTGCAAGAGAGTTGTCATTTGACATTGACGATAGGCTGCTTTATCCTGTTGATAATTCTGCACCAAGAAGATGTCGTGGTAATATGAGAAGACGGAGAGAGTCAGTTGGCCTTGGAGGAAGAACTAGTAGAGGTAGATCTAGTACAATAGGATCTAGCGTAAGTGGTGATACTGGAGATACTCTCGAAGAAGAAGAGGAAATTGTTGATGATTTCGATTTTGATTCAAATGATTTTGATGCTGAAATTGAGTATCCAACAACTCATTTGTCTAAACTACCCACAGCAGTTGAACACAACACACAAGATCAAGTATTGGATTCAGGATGTCAATCTCAATTAGATCCAATAGAGCTGATAATTTCAACAGACTCGGATGCCAACTCAAATGAGTCGTCTCTCTTTACCAGTACCCTCAGTACTTCACACTCATCAGGTACAACAGAAGATGACTCTTATGCCCCACCTCAAGTTTTAAATTTGAAAAGTCAGTCTACTAAGAAGAAGGACTTCAGTTTCAAGAGGGAAGCCGATAGGGGAGCCTTAGCATATAAGGAGCTCGTTTATACGTTGAGATGTATTAGACCTTTCAAGCTGAAACATGCTCAATCTATACGTGAGGGTGCTAGTAACGTTTGAATCCGAGAGCCTTCAAACATAACAGTACCACTTTTATCCATTTGGTTTTTTCCGTTATCGTTGATTATTCGTTTTGTTTTTGTCCAAATTTCTTTTTCTCATCACTTTCACTTTTACAGATCGTATCATTTATTTCTCTCTTCCATCGTTCTACATACGTAGTTATTTACTAGTTGTCAATTTTATTCATTATTATTTATTTCTTTAGAAAAGAGTATCATGTGCTCTATAAATACCCGGGCCCTATCCTGCACATCTCAAATATTTTCTATAATTATCACATAACACATCTAAATTTACGTCACTATCAAACTCTGCTAGCAAGTCATATGTACGCCTGATCAAAGAGGAATGAACGTCCAACGATTCATCATCGTTTCCTCCAAACAAATGATCTAAGCTATAATCAGTCTCAATCAACAGATTCCTACATCCAAACTTGGCCCTGTTCTTCGAATCTCCTGGTATATCACTGAAAAACTTTTTCAAATTTTCTGAATATTTGTCCAAAGTCAAAACTTTACTTATACTGATCTTCAACAGTGGGAACCTTTTCAACCACATCCGTAAATTATCAGCTGATCCACTATATGAATGCAACACTATTCCTGCACCATCATCCATCGATCCGCTTTGGAACCCTTCAGCTTCACTACAGTGGGAACCATACATATCTGAGAGAACATCGTATAACTTACCGTGAGCTCCAACACAATGAACACTAATCGGTAACTTCAATTTCAGTGATAATTTCAAAAATACTTTTAGAATCTCAAGTTGATGGTCCATATTAACACGACATAGCGACATACCATCTTTATGATGTTCGGTTGTCGAGTTACCTAAATAGCCACACCAAGGAACTCGGAACGATTTGTCAAGCCCTATTTCTCCAATTCCAGCATTCGTTGCCTCTGATATGTATGATTTTAAAACTTCAATGTGACCAGGTAGGTACACTGGAACAGGTAGGTTTGATAGCAATTCAACAGGAGGTGGTGGTTTCAAAACTGAGCCATAGTGTTGAGATTTAATATCATCTGGAGTGAGACCACTTTCTTCATAATTTACCATCGTGAACAAGTGGGAGTACCAAGGATGAATTCCATAGTTTGGATTGATCGAGCCTCGCAACTCTTTAGCCAGTGTACGTATAAGCAT